CCTGAATCAAATAAACAATAGAGAGTGGAAATTAGCAAAGTCAGAGTGATATATTTGCTGTGGAGGCCTTGAATTGTGCCAAAATTAAAAGAAAGAAAAGGCAGAGTGACAGCCAGCTGAAGGAAAAGTTGATGTCATATTCTAGCTTTTGTATCCTGGAGGGTCCAGGTGAGCTAGATCAGCTGATGGCCTTCCCCGAATTGGCCGTTTGGCTCCCGTAGTTAATTAGGACCAACTGTCGGACACAGTGGGAGGGATGTGGGAAAATTCTGATTATATTCTATGTTCAGTACTCCACTCCCCAGCAAAAATAAAATATATGAGTAAAGAAGAGAAAAGGGTAATTAGATTGCATAGAAAACTACATTACGTTTTCATCAAGACGGATCAGTTTGTTCCCAATTTTTTAACAAAGGAAAAGGAGTCTGTTTGTTAGGACATGAGGCATCTTGCATTTCTCTCTAGTCTATCAAAAAGGGAGAACGTTTTCATTTTATTCCCCTCAAGGAGCAAAGAGTGCAGGATCAGCGTCATCTCTGCCATTTCCCGAAACCTTTTTAGCAGAGCAGACCTCTAACTTTGTCACTCTGACAAATGATCTGTGCAATTTGAAGCTTATTTCAGCCCACTTCCAGCCTCTAAAAAGCCCAATCCATTACCAAAATGACAACAGGAGGGCAACAGAGCAGCTAAGTGCACAGAGAGAGCATCCTGAAAAGTCACAGGTTGAATGCTTTTTGTAGCCAATACGTCAAAGAGTCCTTGAACAAGACTCTGAAGTCCTTTCCTGCCCAATTTATTTTCTACTCCGCAATGCAATGCAATTTTTAATTTACACTGTGAACTACAGTAGAAAGTCGGAATCCTTATATTTACATTTCATGGACTTTGTGTCTGCAGGGGAGGCTGTGGAGCCGCTTCCTGAGCAGGGTGTGAGTGAGATCCCGGCCATCCGGAAACCCAGTAAAGAGACCACCTGGCTCGGACCCAAAGAGAGCGCTGTACGCCAGCACAGACACGAGATGAAGACCAAGATGAAGACCAACAAGGTGGAAGAGGTGAAACCTGCACGGCCCAAACAGGTGAGGCGTGGCAAAGGAAGTATGTTCTAAGCTCTTGAAATGTTAAATCCAAGCCCGGGAATCAACCAGAAGAAGTTTAGAAAGGTCTGAATCTACCCCCCCCCCCTCCCCTGAGAATTGTAGCATATGTATTATATATACATATGTGCCATAATCACAAATGTAGGTTGAACTTTCACACCAGATGTTTTACTTTTCTTAATGTGTAATGTGTAACAATTTGTCAGTTTTTCCTTTGCCATACCTTCAGGCACAAAATCACATCTTGTGGCAACAACATCTGACTGCTGTTTCAACTTTATAAATTGTAAGCAATTTGTCATCACTGACATATTTGATGAAATGGAATTTGGATTCATAAATCATCCTGATACCAGAGCGCTTTTTCTTCCTCTTTTGTTCTCTCACTCGGACCTTAATTGGCAAAAGATCTGCAACATTAAATAATAACAGTAAAACAAAAACTGACTGGGAAACACGTTCACATGTTTTCCATCACTCATGCAGTCCTGCTGATGGATTAATTTGTAACTCTTGAGTCTTGTGTAATGTTCATTTTTGCTTCTTGTAGTCTTAAAATATTCCTCAGTTTTTCCGTTAAGATGATTTCTTCAACATTATTTCCTAGTAATAGTGTTTTACTTGCTGGTAAAAGTCTTATAACCAAATATCAGTTGTTTTCTAGTACAAAAGAACCTTACAGCTCCTTATATTTTATTATTATTATTATTATTATTATTATTATTATTATTATTATTATTATTATTATTATATTTATCTAGTGTTTGCTGTAGCACTTCACATTTCCCACAATTGATTATTTGCTGACATTTCCAAAAAACTAGTGTCACATAGAGGTTGCAACGCAGAATAAATAGGGACAGTGAGTTAAAGTTTGGAGTTAAACACAAAGCACTGTGTGAGTGACAGCAGGTGTTTTACTATGAGAAGAAAAAGTAATATATGGAGTAATAAGAACAGTCAGCTAGTGCCAGTCTTTTGTTAAACTACTGAGGAAAGAAAACAGGAGCGCAGTGCCTCTGGTACAGCAGCTGTTGATGTATGGATGCTGCATTAAAAAGTGTTTTATTGCTATATTAGAAGTGCAGTTAACACTTGAACCTGTTCATAGGTAATACTTGTGCACGTTGAATTAATTTCAAAGCCTGAGAAGGAAATACAGCAAAGACCAAATAATCATTTTAAGGGGATTAAAACAGTCATGGCACAAAGAAAATGCTTTTTTTCTCCAGTTCCTTTTTCTTCCGTTCAACACTCCCACCAGTCACTGCCCTTTAATCAAAATCCAGATAATTACTGACCTTAAATACACCTGACTCTCTCTGTATCCTGGAGCTGGGACTCACGGGTGAACCCTGGGCATTTATAACCGGCATCGTGGTATTTTCCATCCACCATAAAAATCATTTAAAGGTTATTGCTCTACCAGAAACTTATAACTGTCTCAACAAGACATTTGGCTCTGTCGATTTGTGAGGTAAACCTGAGGTCACTGGCAAGAGTTGTTATTCATTACTGGCAAGAAAACATGATTCATTTGCTCATTACAAAAAGCCCTTCAGCTTTATTGTGTGTATGTGCATGAATCTGTGTGTCTTTTATATGAGATTTTATGTAGCATAGCAAGTGAAAAAAGTGATTGCCTTGCAAACACATCTTGGTGTTGATGTATCTGGAATAGTTTTCTGTTGTGTGCATGGACTTTATTAAAGCTTTATTAAAATCAGATTTCATATTTTCTAAATAAAACATTTAAAGAAGTTATATAAAAAGATCAGATTTGACTTTTTTATACTTTAATTTCTCTGCACAGACATTTGAATGAATGGAATCATTTGTACAGAACGTTTTTTGCCAGAGGCCAACCGCATTTCACTCTCAACACATGCGATACGGGGCTGCGCACATGACTATATTGTTGTTGTCTTCGCTGTTTTCAAGACTCAGTGTCAGCAGGAGCTCGACCAGATCCTGGAGAGGATATCCAAGATGCCCTTCAGAGATAACCGAGGTCCCCTGGAAGACCTGTACGCCCTGCACATCCCCAACTGTGACAAGAGGGGGCAGTATAACCTCAAACAGGTGACTCCAGGCATTTGGGGAAAGAGGATGGTAGGCGGAGAGGGTGTAGCCACCTGATAATATGCAAGTATTTAGAGGAGAGAAGGTGGGTAAAGCATCATTGTATTTTCACAGCCAAAAACCACTGAATCCTTTGTTTACCCCTTGATGTACTTACCAAATTCTAAGTCTGGCTACAGTTAATTTATGTCACTTTATCTTCTACTAAATCATAGAAACACATTTGTTTAGCATTTATTTTGTTAATACTTTTAATAAAGCATTATTATTATTAAGATATTTATTTGAATACTGCTGCGTTAATGAAAAAAAGGGGGATCTAATTGGAATATGTGCATTGTAAAACTGATAATACACACTTTTTCTGTGTATTTTTGCACAAACAACATATATTATACATATTCAGGGTTGTCACCATGAACAAAAACGACATAGAAACACACAGAAATAAACTACAACACAGCGTTTTGTGTTTCAGTGCAAGATGTCTCTTCATGGTCAGAGGGGTGAGTGCTGGTGCGTCAACCCTCACACCGGACGACCTATCCCATCAGCCCCCACCGTGAGGGGCGACCCCAACTGCAGCCAGTACCTCAGTGAGACGGACCTGGAGCTCCCTGACATGGACCAGATATAGTATGGCATGAAACAAACAACAAATCAAACAAACTGTAAAGTACTTGGGAACAAAGAACATCTGAGTAAGCTATATATTATCTTTTTGTGTGTATGTGTCTCTAGTTCATTTGATGACAGTGAAATTTGAAAACGTAACCACCAAAAAGGATTAAATGATAGAATCCAGCTTGCTGCGTAGGATGTAACTGCAGATTATTCTTAGGAGAAGTAAAGATTAGACTCCTTTTCCCTCATAGATATTCAGTAGATGTCAGCGGGAGTGTTGGTGACGTTGCTTTACTAATTGTGAATTTGCTCAGATTTGCTCTGTTATCAGTGTTTTGTACTGTATGTGTTGAAAAATGAAAAGCCTTCAACATATTTGGTGTTTTTAGCTGTGTTTTTTCGTGTCGTAGCTTGCAGACTACTGTTATGCCTCATTAACAGATAACGCCATTAAAATGATAATAAATTCAGTTTGTGCCTGTCTGAGTGTTTTAATTTGTGGACACACTTCACTTGAATTCGATGATAGCTCACCCGTATTTTGTTACTTTCGTAAAAATGAAGCCTTTGTGGTGTAAATTTGTATCAGCGATCTTAAATATGGGACTGGCCATTACTCTGACAACAGTCCCGCAGCTCGAACAAACGGCTGCTGCTCCAAAAGTCGTCATGGGAACGATAGTCAGGTAACCTTAGTTGTCGTGGTAACACATGATTCATTTGCTCATTACAGAAAGCCCTTCAAGCTTTATTGTGTGTATGTACCAACTTTTAATGACAATCCATCCATCCAATAGTTGTGGAGACATTTCAGTCAAAAACATGAATTTCAACTTTATGGTGGGGCTGGAAGAAAAGTCAGGGGATCACCAAATGTGTAGGATGAATCCACTGGGGACCACTCATGTCTGTATAAAATGTAATGGCAATCCATTCGACAGTTATTGAGATATTTCACTCTGGTCTGCCCTCTATGGGTAGAATCTTTCGGAACATGTGTCATGTAATGTCACAGCAAGCAGTTTTGCCTTTGGCAACGGATGGCAACAACCTGCATGGAGACCCACGCGAGTGCCTTTTAGTGTCAAGGTCAAGATAGAAATCCACAAATGAACAACAACACAGCCACTGACTCAACAATTTATAATCTTAGCAGAGATCACATGTTTAAGACAAAAGTGCAGATATGCATTTTTGTGAGTACATGAACTTTATTTAAATAGTGATTTGTTATTACAAAAAAAACAAGTACATCAATTTCACGCCTGATAAATATTTCACCATAATGTTCACATTAATCTTTTCTTTTAACTGAGATTCTGAAAGTGTCAATGTGTTGTGTTTACATGTGTGCTAGAAACAACAGCAAAGGGGTTTCATTGGAAATAACTGGATGAAGAGCCCCCTCTCCCAATATCATGATATAGAGATTAGGCATTAGGAATGTCTGAGATTATAAGAATCATTTATTGAGCATTGAGATTATAACAACAAGAAAGGGATCTTAAGCAATTTACGAGCTATAGAACAAAAATGTTATCCTCTCGTCGTGTACATTCAGCAGCGCTCGACAGGGAGATCACCATAATCTTTGTCAGCACCCAACTTAAAACCATAATCAAACAAAAAATCTTTTAGACCACATCCACACGTGAAATTGTTTTCCTCTTTTGTGCTATCCCTCATTCAACGACACGATGGGTCCACATGCAAATCAAAATTCAAAGAGGCGTGGGGCAGAAGGCACTTCAATTTACATAGAAACTCAGCGACCTCGCTCTTTGCAGGATAAAGGACCCAATAAACCCTGAGAGCAAGTCACCATCGGCCGACAGATTTGCCTGTGTGGTGGCACTGAAGACCCTACTGATGGAAACATAAACAACACGGATCCTTTGCATACGATTTGCGTTCAAAGGGAAATGCACGGCACCGGATTTGTCGGACAGTAGCTTGGATAGGCTGGGCTTGTGAGAATATAAACCAGAGCTTTTTGTAGTTGAGAACTATAAGGGCATGGCACATACACAGTACAGTACACACACATACAGACACACTCAGGAGCATGCACACACACACACACACAACCAAGTTTGACAAGCAGAAACATACAGGACTCATCTGATAGTGGCAGAATAATGAGCTACAGTTACGGCTAAGGGCAACACAATGACGAAGGTTTAGATAATTCAGCGATGTCAAAGTTGTCACATTGCGAGTTTTGATTTGAGATGTAGAAAATAATCATCTCTAACTAGCAAAAACATTTACATGAGTCATAAGCATGCTTTTGTTGGTTTCTCATTTAATTTGCCTAAATTTAATGTTGAGTCTTTTTGAGTTTCAAGGTTTCTATTTCTTGGCTCTGAGTGGTTGCCAGGCAACCAGCGGAGCCTTGGCACATAATCCCCCCCCGATAAAACGGCTTTTGTGCAGATTAAAAAAAGACATAAAACATGTTAATAAGTGAGCTTTAGAGATGCTGGTTTGTTACATTTGGACAGAGCCAAGCTCTTTAAGCTAAGCTAAGCTAACCAGCTGCTGGCTTGAGCTTTAACGGACTGATATGAGAGTGGTATCAATCTTCTCGTCTCTTTCCCAAAATGTCAAGCTTTTCCCTGACATGGCATATTTAATGGCTGTCAGCTGATTCTGCCCGTCTCCCGCCCACTCACGAGTTGATTTTCCCATGTGACAATATAATATACCCTGGCTTAACTCATTATTTGATATATTAAAAAGTTTTTCTTACTTCGGAACGCCATTCACGCGATTAACAATTAGTTAAACATTGCTAATTTAGACGAGAGCTGACTCACTCTTTCGATGGTGTCTTGTAATTGTCATTCTCTCATGTTGATCATCATGACAAAAATATGAAAAAAAAAAAGATTTTTAGCCACATTTAAAATATGTCTTGTCTTTTCTTGGAGTAAAAGTACACAACATGTTATCATTATCATACAAATATATATATATAATCCTCTATTATCTATGGATATAAAGAGGTGAGGTGTGAGCTAACCTCGAACATAGTACAGTCAGTGGAGAGCCAGAGTTAAGACCTACGTGAGCAGATTTTCACCAAAAGCAAGCTTTTCAGTTCAGCTCCCCTTTAAAAGACCCCAACACAACACAGTCCGTCACACCTGACCATATATGTATAAGTATTTGTGCCATATTTTCCTGATTGGCAGTCATAAAGTGTGCTAGCTTGATTGACAGGTTTTAAGAAGATCAGGGCTCAGCGGGTACGACCAGGTCGCTCTCATTCGTTGCTGTTGCTGCTGCTGTCGAGGTCTTTGCACTGCAGGTCTCCTTCGGTGAAGTTGATGCCGGGGATTTTCATGCCAAACCTGTCGACGCACCAGCAGATCCCCCTTCTCCGACCACGAGACGGCTTACACTGCAAGTCAAGAGTTACCAGAAAGGGATGAGAGACTTGTTTTCAATCGTTTCTTGTGGCGTTTCGGCTTTATTGGACAGTTCAAATGTTTTGCGTTTGTCTCAAAATGTTGTTTTTTGGATGGAATAAATGGCCTGACATACAAAAATGTATCCATACCTGTTTACGCTTGAAGAAGCCCTTCTTGTCACAGTTGGGGATGTACAGAGAGAGAGCCAAGACCCTAGAAGTGTCCTTCATGCTCTGAATGAGATTATCCAGTCTCCTCCCGCAGGGTCCCTGCTATTACAAACACAGGTGTGAGTGTGTGCATGATCAAAATGTGTATTTGTGCACGCCAGAGTTAAAGATTATGGTTCAAAATGTCCTTGAAGGTTTGTGAAATGCCCAAGAAATCAAGAATAAGGAGGCGGGAAATACCTCCATGAATGAGGACTTGAAGTAATTTGGTATTTCACTCTGTTCGCACCATGTTGTCAGGTGTGAAAGTGGCCTTGTGGGGAGTCTTGGCTGATTTGTCAGAACTGGTTGCTTTATAAAGCCTAACGCAGTAGGACGCAGTATCTGAGACTTTTCTGATTTAAAGTAAAGCTGTTTGTTTGCTAATATCCAAACAAAATATGGTTCAGAAAAATTGCTCAGGATCTCAGAATCCGTGAGGCCAAAACTGGTATGCATCTCTGTAATCTCTACTTCACTTACGAACTCAGGCTCCAGTTTATCCAGGCTGAGCGGTGAGAAGTCCAGGTTGCTGGTGGGTCCCAGCCTGGCCAGCTGCTTCTTGCGGTCCTTGGCCTGCTTCATGGCCTGTGCCTTCCGACTGCTGATGTGGTCTCTTCCATATATGGGCACCTTGGTTTGGGGCTGCATGGACTCGGGGACGGGTAGGATGGCATCGTGAGATTCTCTGTCTGATAAGGAGGCCAAGACAGACAAGATCGTTATCGTGCATGTTTGAAATGTATTAAAAGGTACCATGCGGGGGTTTCTTGTAAACAGTCAAGGTAATATTTACATTCAGTGTTTCTCACTTAAATACACAGTGTGTATCTTCAAGGCCTAACAGAAGAACACACTTCAGTTCTCATACAACATTTGCAAAGCTGATTGAATCATTTGGAAACTGCACTGTTTGCATACATCAGCAGTTTCCCTCTTCTCTGCCTTTTTTTTTCTGGTGCTTTGCTAAATTTCTTTCTTGGTGCAAGTAGTGCAAAAACTCCACAGGGTGCCATTAAGTTCATTCACTGTGCACAAAAATGTAATTAATTAAGTCTCTGCCAAACATGTGCTTTCAGTTTTGAAATATCTCCTAATTAAAAACTTGTTTTTTCCTAAAAAGTATTTCAGAACACTCCCATTCCATTCTGGTATTGGTTTAATAAAATGTAATTTCTAAATGGGCATACAACTGATAATTTACAATTTAACACTTTCTGACATGAATCACAAATTAATATAAAGCCTGGGGCTGACAGAATACAGACTACAAAGAGCAAGAACAAGAGTAACAAAACAAAGAAGTCCAGCAGCATTCAGCTGAAGCTTGATTCATACAGGATTACTGTTATCAGAGGAGAACTGTCTCTGCCACTGTGCTGTCGGTAATTTACACCAAAACTTTACAAATTACAGACATGCAGGATTAAAATAACCAATGATAGCAATTATTACAAGAAACTTAATGTCCACAGGTGTAATATTAGTCCTGTGCGAACAGGCCTTCAAAGCATTTTTCTGTTGCTTTCAAGAGACTGTTTGAAGAGGAGTCAAAATCAAGAGTACCGTGCTGGCTCCCACCTGTAAATGTAACTATTTGCAAGGCTGAAATGAAAAAGCAGCGCTAAACTCATGAGAGGCACAGGACAGGAGTAACGTCACAACACGACATGATGATTTCACTGCACCAGCTGAAGGCTCATTTAGCACAGTTAGTGGCTACTGGCCAGTTTCAGATTGGATGTGTTGACATACGGGACAACACAGCCTACATTTATGGCAAGTTAGGTTGCCAGTTTGGGGTATATGTAGACCAGGGGTTTTAAAACTTTTATAGCCAGTGACCCAAATGAGATATTTAGTCTCACCCTGGCACCCAGGCCCATGAAAACATGCTATTACACTTGTCATGTGGCAAGCCACCAGAAACAGCCGCAGCCCATTTTTGGGTCCCAACCCCCACAGAAACCCTCGTGTACATGCATCTTTCATCCGTGCAAAAATACAGCTCTTTGCTAAATTTTGGGGGGAGTCGCACACAGTCGCACAAACCTCAACGCTCGCCCCCCCTCCCACCTCGTCCCACCCTGTATTCATACGACCACAGCGAGCGTGTCCAGGCCAGAATGAATGGCTGCGGCTTTCTTCCCCAAAAGCACTTGATATTTCACTTCATTTATAGCCTTAAACACGCATTAGCCTTGTACGTGTCCTAAGCCACAGCTGGCCCCTTTCCACTGCTGTGTCACGCACTTGTTTCTGTTTCATTTTGGCAGATTGCAAATTCTGCACATAAAAGCCCTTACATTTCTGCGCTGACGTGATCGCTAAGCTACTAAGTTAACTGGGTGGTGAAACAAGGTCACCGCCACGTTGCAAATGATGCTTAAAACCTCCTGGCTGATGATGATGAAGATCATGATGATGTCATCCATCCACATAATGACAGGTTCTTGGAAAAAAGCAAGAGATTCCCCCATCCTCCAGTTTCCTGCTGACACAGTTTTTTTTCCCTCTGGAGAAAACTGAAGCAGATCAGCAGCCAGTGGAACTCCAATCAAGTCTTCACTTGCTAATCCTCGAGCTTGTCTAATCTGACTTGTGCTGACTGATCACATCTTTCGTTTTCTTTCTTCCTCTCCCTTTTCCTTGTGTTTGAATTGTGAGACACGGTGATCCCGGAGAGACAGAAAAGTCCTTCCTTGCTTCTTTCCTTCCTTCCTTTGCTCTCCACAAGGAGTTTCCTTCCTCGCTTCATCTAAAAAAAATCAGCAAGAAGGAATCTGTCCAGATAATGTTGCAGAGGCATACCTACAACTTGAGTTTCATCGTGCTACATGCACTTGAAAATATGACAAAAAGGCAACTAAATACTCCTATTTTGAGCTTTTATTCTGGGTTTAAATGGCAGCTTCTGTCATTGCTTTCTGTGCAAAGTGCTAAAGAAATAACATTTGGGTGCAAAATCACACTTTTTGGCAACTCCTGCGATATTTTATGACCGTATATATGCGTACACCTTTTTGGCGGATTTTGTAGATCTTCCCAAGTGTACCGGCTTTGTTTAATTTATGTGTTGTGAGAGCGCCCAGCAGGAGATGTGGAGTTAATGGAGAAGCTGGCTGACGGGCAGACAGATGGGGGATCAGTAACCCACGCTCAGCCTGCATTCTGCTGAATCACTGCACAGCCTGGGCCTGCCTGCAGCGCCGAGACAGAAAGAGGGAGGAGAGAGAGAGCGGGGAGACAGATGAAGAGACAAGGGTGGGACTTACAAAGAGTGGTGGGAGGGAGCAGAGAGGATAGTGTGGGAAAGGGAGGAAAAAGGAAGGGGGGGATGAATAGAAGATTTGAAGGTTTTTTTTTTTTTGGTTATACAACAATTTCTCAGATGCAGAGCTGCTCTGGAGGCGGAAATTATCTTAATCTGATTGAATGAGTGAAGCCACATAATTTAAATTGACTAACTGGTAAAAAGGGAGTCCTGATCTCAGAAACAATAGACTGTTAATGCCAGATTGCTGGTTACGGAACAGGTTTATGATTGATAAGGCTCATTTGAATGTGACACTGATAAGTTTATATTTCAGTGCTTCCCCCTTTCTTACCTTTTGCCTTTTGTTACTGGACTTCACTCTAATGCTACTTAGCCAGAAAAACTGCAGTTCTCTGCCTCAGCCCACAGAGGCTTAACACAGCCAGTGGGATTATTTATGTTTCCAAAGTAGCTTTGCGTCTTCCCTAAAACTCCAATCTGCAGGAAAATAAAGTACAAGACAGAATGGAAAGGGTGAAACTGGGTATGGAGGGGGGGGAGATGAAGAGGGACAGTGGCCAGGCAGGGAAAGAGGAGAAGAGGCAGAGAATAGAGGGACGGAGACAAAAAGCTGGGTTAGGTGTGGGAAACGGCACAGGTGGTGGACGAAGAAAGGTAGAGGAACTGACAAAAGAAAAGCTAAAAAGAAAAAAAAAAGGAAAAAGAAAAGACAAGAAACTGTAGAGGAAGGGAAAAGGGCAAAATATGAGTTCACACCTTGAAGAGAGTGAGCGCAAAGGCCACAAGCCAACATTTCCCCACAAAGCTCTCTCCACAAAGCTCCCCAGCAGACACACTGACTGTCCCTGAACTGCCATTTAAAAAGGAGCCAACAAGAAGCCTCTGTAGAGCACCACCTGTAATCTTCTCCCTTGTTTTATGTCGGCTGGGGGGCCCCGAGGGGACGGGCCACTCACATGAAAAAAACCCTACTGATTTACGGCTCGCAGGCCCTGCAAGGGCCTTTCAAATCGAGATGACAGGTTGACTGGCGCTCGGCACCAATTGTTGACAGTTCACAGGGTCAAGGCGCACGGGGGCTTTTGAGTCATGTGTGCCAGTAATGACAGGTGTCAGCCCATCTTAAAGAGGGGCTGTGAGTTGACAAGGAGACGGAAGAGAACACCTCTTCACCCTCTTTTCTTTAACCCCAAACTTTTAGAAAATATTAATCAACTTCATGCACAATGGGGTAAAGTTTTAGGACAGGGTGTGTAATAGTCCACCTTTTTTTCATTTACCACTGAACCACTGGCTGACTCTGTGTGTATGTGTCATTTGAGGTCTTCATTAAAATTCCTGCATTGACATGGGAGGAGTATCTCTATCCAGCTGTTTGCTATTTCTTTGCACCAGAGCCCTTAAGATCTTGGGCTGAAACATAATTTCAGCAAAGCAAATGCAACAGAAACAGCTGATATAAGCACCATACAAGTATTGAAATGACTGCTTAACCAAGGAGAGCACTACAAATGTATGCTTTAATTAGACTTTAAAGTCCTACAGTGGAGAATAATGGCAGGGAAGATTAAACTAACCAGAATGAATAACAAATGAAGCTGCCACAAATATAATGAATCAATGAATTCAGTTATGTTCCATTAGAGTCAGCCTCAGTGATCTGGATCAGTCATCTCTCCACGGGCCTACCTTTTGACGGATGCAGCAGTTTGTACAACTTCTCGTTCCTGCACACCCCGCGGCCGTGCAGGAGCGCGTGCAGCGGCTTCTCCTCGCCGTTCTTGGGCAGGCAGCGGAGACCGCGCGTGCACGGCCCGGTGTACACGCCGCACGGCTGGCCCTCTTCGAGCGCGCACGTCAGGCAGCAGCCGCAGCCGGGCTCCTTCACCAGCTCGCAGCCCACCGGCACCGGCGGACACATGGACAGGGCCTTCTGATCGCACGGCTGGCACGGCACGTACGACGAGCCGCAGCCGGTTATGCTCAGCAGGGGGACGACCAGGAGGGACACACTCAGCAGCATAGTGCGCTTCTCGTCTAAGACTGCAGGCTGTTTGACCTAAACCGCGATGATTATCAGCTGTATCTTGTGGTGAATCCTTTCTTTGCAAAAGGTTTGAGTCCAAACATCAGAGGGTGTGGGTGCAGGGGAGGGGGTGATGTTGCATCCACAGGTGCCTTGCGCGTTCAAGTCCCAAATGTCACCGCTTCCGATGCTCGCAATCCACAAAGACAGTCACTCTGCTCCCCTCCCTGGGCTTTCCTTCAACCTTGCAGCAATAAATAAATAAATGTAAAAAAACAAACAAGCAAACAAAAAAAAAAAAAAAAACAGAAAAGAAAATATCCAGACACCACCTTTCTCTCCCTTCAGTGATGCGCGGTGCCGTTTACGCGCAGGCTGTTCGTCTCCAACTGAGAATGAATAGAGACTGATACCCGCTGTCGCTCTGTCTGCAGGTTATGTTGCCCGCACGGTTTAGTGAGCAAAAAATCTGTGGCTTTGAGCTTGCCTTTTAAAAAAGAAACTGCCAGAGGCGAAGCCTGTAACGATGGATATGTCAAACAACGTTTCGAGGGGGAGGCGCACTTGTCAACTCAGTGCGCTGCGATGCTGATTTCACAGGGCGGGTGCTGGCTTGCCTCCAGATCTCACAGATACGCTCCTGAAGTTGACTGAATAAGACCTTGTCTCTCCCGTTGCAGTGTGGCCATGCAATATCCCCAGGCTCATGGAGACAGCATTATTATTATCATTATTTGTGCTTAAGAACAAGGCAGGTAATTTCTCACTAAATCAGCTTCAACCGAGAAGATTCTGGAAACTTAAAATTGCTGACGAGGTTATTTGAACGACAGCCAGTGAACTTCCAAATCATGTTGCTGGATTTAGAAGTAAGAAAGCTGATAAAAAAAAGAGCTGTTTTTAGACGGTTTACAGACCTCTTAGGAAAGAGTCACATATAAACATACTGCAAGCAGACAAACTACTTGGAAAGGAAGAGATGCGACAACAGAATTAATGTCACTTTTCATTTTTATTTATTCTGGTAAATTGCCAATAGATTATTTTTCAAAATATGCTTTTATATCATATTATTTATATCAAATCAGTAGAGAGCTTATGACTCTTTAATATTTATCGGTCATTGTGTTACTGGTCCCTTAATGTGAGTTTTTCTTCACAAATGAGGGTTTTATACTGTAATCTATCTGTCAGAGAATATAAGCAGACTTGCTGATCCTCCACCTTGTTGCACACCAACATAAAACACACACGATCGAATTCTAAATACTTTTTTCGACATAACCTCCTTGGAAGAAGCAGTCAGATACTTATGCTGACCACAAACATGGTTTTGTTCCCCTGTGGAGCTGCCAGATGGATACATAGACCCCACTACACCCTAACATGTGTCATTTTCTTCTTTCTTTGTCTATAACAGAAACCTTTTAGTCAAATTTGACCGTGTAATGGCACCAAATACACTTCTTATATAACAAGACTTTCAAAGTTAAGGGTGGGTTCCTGCTTGTGAGACAAGAACGCTTTTACAATTCCCCTCAGATATCTTTGAGTTTTCCTCTTTTGCCAAAGGACTGTAGCTTTAAATATTTGTGCAATGCTGTCTTAACCATAACAAATGTATTCTCCAAAGATCTGCACAGTGACTCAAGGTCCAGATCAGGGCAAACCACATTCAGACTGACCTTATTTTATGACTCAGCGAGGTCAGTGTCCAGTGAGATAAGTGGCCAGCTCTCATGGAGGGTAACTGAGTACAAAATGCTCATAATTCACTTGATGTTTTGGCAGATACCAATATATGTCTGAGGATTGTAGATGATCAGCATGTTTTTGTTTTTAGTAAATAGAGTCCCTGCAGAGTCCAAGAGGAGTTAATGTAATGCTTTTGACCCTGGTCATGTTAATCCGTTGGAGTAGGCTGTTCTTTCTGTGTATTTGGTTTAATTGACCTCTTTGTTTACATCCTGTTATTCTCCATCTTCATTTTGCAATTTAAGTGGAGTTTTAGTGGTCCGCGATAGAATACATCCAGTTTCTGGTGTTTGTTACTTCAGTCAGTACTGAAACTGACCTTTAAAGAACCCACACTGATCAAAGCTTTTATTCCTTTTCTGCGTCAAGTTTCACTTCCTCTTTCTCCCTTTCCCCTTTTGTGAAACTTTGTCGGCAAACTATTCACACCATCCAACCCCTGTTTGCCTTTTCCCTTGACCTTTGTGCCGTATCAGGTGTCAGATGACGTCACACGTGGCGGAAAGGTCAGCTCAGCATCGCCCAAAACACCTCTTTCATTTCCCTCGTCTACCTGTCCAGATTTGAAGAAAGAGCACCTTTCAGATTGTAAACCTGTGCAACACATCTGTCTTTCACAGGTTCCAACAACAAAAAAAAACTCCCTCTCAAAGATCGTCCTGAGACTCTCCTACACATTTATGATTCATAAATTGATGATTTATTACCCAGAGGCATATTGGCAATGCTAATATGTCTACACTTGTTTTGTTTTCTCCAGATGTGAGACATGGAGGGACTGTGGTCCAAGGGCTGCTAGGTTTCGTAAACCCCGTCTGAGTCAGTTGCTGTATATAGGCCATATGATGCACAGATGGTGTATGTAGCTGCTTGGGATAGAGGTTAATGGTTTGGGATTTTCTTTGAAATTAAACTAAGAGCTAAATATGTGCTGAGGTTTCAATGTCAGGTCTGTGGGAGATTTGAATGCTTTAGGTTTTGGTATCCATGTTTCAGTTCATAACTTGGCTTTGCATTCACTGTTTGGTACGTGGAATTTCAGCTAATATTGGCATCATATTCTCAATCAATATTCCATCATTCTTGGTCCAGTGTTGCTGTAACTTACTGGGAAACCATAACACTCCCAAACAACTCTTCCAGTTGTAGTTGTTCCTTTTGTGTTCGCCCCACTGACATCACTTGCTATATGAGCAATGACCGTAAGGAATAAACTGAGTAGCATGTTTCAGCTAACGGACAACATACCCTTTAAAACGCCTCGCACACCCGAACGCACCCACACAGGTGTTTTCACTTATTGTGGGTGATTGGAGCTCTTCTCGGTAGAATGTGGGCATGCACAGACCGTGCTCGCTTGACATCTCCTGTTAGATTTGGTGCACCCTTTAGGATGGGACAAATTACACCATTGTCATTCTTATTGGTACATGAAGTTGCCTCATGTAATTCCCAGTCTAGTTGCATCAACCTTAAACCTGAGGAGAAGTCAATTAGTCAGTTTAACTGGAAACAGCTGTGTGGGTGAGCAGGTTCAAGTTTTTGCACATAGTAACCTAATTAGAGTGTACTAGCCTAATTTGATTTGGTTTACAGGACACAGTGAACCGAAGACAGTCACATATTGAATTGAACGTCCTGTACTGACAAATAAACACGTTGTTACAGCCCTATCTGTGTTCCAGTTCAGGACCTGAATCCTCCAATTCTCACAGTTCTTGACTAAATATGTCAAATAATGGATTGATGGGGATTGTCCCATTTAAAATGCCTTTCAAAAATATGGAGAAAAACTTGGAACAAGCACAAAACCGTTAAACCGTTTTGCAACTCTCAATATACCAAAATCGACTGTGTCCCGGTGTCAAACTGGTTAAGTTGGGAACCTTAAGGTAATCGATGTTGCCTAACTGCACCAATGAAAAAGCCGCAGCTGGATGCAAAGCAAGCACTGACTTCAGTTCAGAAAGCAATCTCATTACAAGGTCCCTTTCAGAGTTGTAAAGGAGCTTTCCATAATACATTGAAGTTTGCCCATTTGTCATGACATTGCCATTTTTTTTTCTGACTACTTTAACTTCACTTCTCATTCATGTTGTCTCCATCTGCTATCAACTATCTCATCTGGTGAAGATTTTGTGATATGACCGAAAGCACTGGAACACCTACTAAATGGATCTCGTGGTAACATTTTTCCACATCCTGCTTTCAAAGTCAAAAGTGAACTTTGAACCTCAGCTTTTAAGCCGATTTGTCCAATGTTCAGGTCAATCTTAGTTTCAATAATTTTCAGTAAGATTATTATGAAGACTTCCAGTTTTATTGCAAGAATTTTCCCTGTAGACTCTCAAGAGGTTTGAGAGGTACTTTTCTTCTCAGAATTCATATGCAGTACTCTTTAAGTCATCATTTTTGACCCCTCTCATCTGTGATTTCCTACTTTTTCTCAACCATTGTTCATCTGCTTCTGTCTGCAGCTTGGCTTTCATATCCTGACCTACTTTATCTGTCAAAAGACACTGAGCTGCTGCTGCACTTGTTCTGGAAGAGATAATGGAGCTGGAGTCAACTTGAGCGATGTCTGAACGGAGAAAGTGATCAAAAGCGGAGAAAAGCAAAAAGCAAGCTCAGCACAAAATGGTTTGGAGCCGTGATATAATCTATGGGAAACAGCACTCCAGTGTCGTATTTCTCTTCAGCCCTAGGACCTCGGGTTAACGTGCTGCATTACAGGAGAGACGGGAGAGAAAATGTATGCCAGACAATGAAGTAATCCTGGTGAAAGCGATACCTTGAAAGCTTGTGCTGCAAGATGTTTTCTAGGGTTTTTATTTGTGTGTCTCCAACGTCTAAGTCAGGTGACAAATCACACATAAAGTCAGCCAAAACTTACTTCAGGCATTACCTTTTATCGTTCCCATTTATTATTTTTGGACATTTATAATTGTTTTTTCCATCCCAAACTGCTACCACCAAGTTAACCAAGTTGTGCACCTCAGCTAGTTAGGATAATTGACTTTCTAAATTAAATATCTGATCTCATGATACCCGCTGGATGTGTTCTGATCAGGTTTGACTTTGAGGAGACCCAGAGGTAGACCTAGATCACGCTGGAGAGATGTTGGACGACATCTGAGACCAGAAAGAAGAATGTGTGGTCTGCCTACCAGAAAATGGATAGTAAACTGATGCAGTATACTCAGACTACAGACAGTGCATTTCTACAGTGGGTTGGTTTGAAGTTGCTTTCAGTTATCACTCTAAGTATATGCTTGATGTGGATCAGAGTTTGTGTGACTGATTTGTGCCATATGACACAGTCAGAGCTTACTGTAAGCGACAAAGCAGAGTAAACCGCTGGAAATGTGCTGAGGCAGCATGTATTGCCCTCCCCCATATGGTCTCACACTGAGATAGAGTCAGTTACCAGAACAGTGTAAGCACTTGATTTTGAGAAACAATTAGAGGAGCCCACGCTGGATAAACTGGGGCTGAAACTCCAGTGCAAGTGTATCTGTGTGTTTGGTCTGCAGTACGGGTGATGTTTAAGATGATTAATGAGAAAGACTAATGAATAACGTATACTGTATTTCTTCAGAATGCCTAATGGTTGTTTAAGTGTAACAAACTGACATTTTCATATGAATAACTGTCCCATACTGCACAGGAAGTACCATATAATTCATGTTTCTAGGCACCAGCAGCAGTGTTTGTTTGGGCTAAATAGATGAAGAACTGGGTAAACAGCATGAGCAGTGATCAAGCAGAGCGCCACCTACAGAAACCAAA